CATATATATTATAAATATATTTTTCATGTTATTGGTTTCAAACGCAATGTAACAAAAGCAACATCTGTTATATAGGTACTTACTGAAAAGAAAACTCAACAGTGAAGAGATGAACTTTTAGAATTTTTACATCCTTATGAGCATGCCGGCCATCAGCCAGGTGTCCCTCCCTGTGAATCAGTACCAAAGGACTAAGAACTGCATAACCAATGGTCAGAAATTCTCAAATATTTATTACCATGGAATGATTCTCAAAACTTATACATAGGGCAAGAACACAATCTATCCAATAAAAGAAAAGAAAACCAAGCATCAGAAGAAGAACACTTTGAACAGCTTTGATCTCAGGAGGAGTTTTGTAGAGGAGCTTGCAGCCTTGCAAATGGAGAACACTCTGGTGGTGCTTGTGGGGAAGAAATGCCATGTAGCCACTGGCTCCACCCATGACGCTCTGAAAAACAGCATCCCTTACTACCATGAGGGTAACAAAAAGCGATCTTATTTTTTGATTTTGTGGTTGCAAATGACAATAGTCACACTTACTGAATTGTGATATATTCATGCTGGTGCTTTTCATGCAATGAAGTAAGTTCATGCCGATCAAGGAATTGAGAACCCAGAAGAAGAGAAGTAGGAGAAGGATATGCCACACAGTTCTGGGCTTGAGCCTCCTCCACCTGGAGTGTCTGGGACAGATGGTGGCAGCCTGGACCACTGTGAGGAGAGCACTGGTGCAGATGGACAGGCCCCGGGCCACCCTCTCCACATAAGCCACAATCTTGCAGTCTGTGTCATCCAGGAAGTTTCTCACACCAAAAGTTGGTATTATCTTTGGTACTCCTTTGGAAACAATCATTATGATATTTGTAAAAGCCAAATGGATAATAATAAAGTGTATTGATTTGCTTTTGGCACCTCGTCTAACATTGTACGTATTATTCAAAAAAACAAAAATGTTCCCTACAATGCTAAGTCCAGCAAGAAAAACACAGATTGTGCAGTTGGCAAGTTTGTAAACCATTTCTATCTTCATGAACAGAAAACTTGCATCTGGCAAATACAGTTTTGAAGAAACACCTGTAATGATGGTAGGTATCTGAAAAAAATTATTTCATGTCATAACCTACCAGTATAGGAGACACAGATGTGACACATGAAACAGTGTTGAATTTTGACCTATTTTTATAGCACTCTTTGTTATTCTATGTTCTCTGAAATAGGGTCTTCCAAACTAGAATTTAAAAAAGCCAAATTTTCCACTCATTTACGAGCTAAATTTTCATAAAATGAACTTACTTATTCACAGAACTGTGCAAACAAACGTCCTTTTATAAAATTTCTGTATTCAGATTCCCTTTGTTTGATTCTAGGACTTGTGCTTTCCTCTCATTGGATTCCAAAGCCTGAGTCTCATATTTAACTGGTCTGCCTTCTACACCCTGCCCCACAGACCTTGTGAAATCCCGAGGTGTCACTTTTCAGCATCACATCCTTGTAGCCACATTGAATCTTTCTACACTATCTCTTTGGCAGTTCAATAGTCTGGATTATTTGTTTCCCAAGTTTTAGATCCACAATACCTGCCTCTTAAGACTTCTGTATTTTTAAATCTGGAGGTTGAACTCAGGACCTTGTGCTTGCTAGGCAGGTGGCAGAACCACTGAGCTAAATCTCCAGCCTCCAAACTAACTCTTTAATTTCACTCCTCCAAGATATTTATTTCTATTTCTACTACTCACTGATCAGTCTAACTGCATAAATTTTCCTGATATGGTACAATAAATAGAGTTTTTAATGAAACAATATATATGTCTCCTGGCTGTCCCTGTCAGGCCAGTCCAACTAGTGTCCTGCCACCCAGCCCATAATTTTCAGTAACGAGCAATTATCTTAGGCTATATATAT